CTCCTAGAGGGAGTGAGGGACCTGCCGCCCCCGAATTGCCGCAGGTGCCGCCCCTCTCCCTTGGCCGCCCAAGCACCTACTTGTTAAGCTGGTGCCTGGAGCCGGCCCTGATGCCACTAAACTTCCAGATATGTATTTTCATGTTTTCTGGGTTGTCGAGCCCTGGCTTTTGCTGTACAATCCGTCCGCTTCCCTGGCATGTGTAGATCTGGTCAGGCCCATTGTTCATAGTTCTGTGTGGAGAAGTGTCTTTGCTCGTCTCATGTTTTCAATCACTGTAGAAAACACTTGAGTTACTGAAAGCGCTGATATGGTGATGCTGTGTGCATTTGTTAATGTACAGTACAGACCATATAGCTAAATTATGTGGGAGTGGAAAATAAAACTATACTATGCTTTGAATCTCCTGACTTTTAAATGGTTTATTTTTTCAAATAATTATATCTTTCCAGCAATTTGTAAATTGATAACTGTTCACAACCATAACTGTATCTTAGCAAAGCTTTTTTGCATGGGGATTTTTCTGCAGAAAATATTTGAAAACACTGATTTGTAAACTTGTTGTAGATTTTTTACTTTTTCTGATAGGACTGTATTTTAACTATGGATTTAGTGTAAACGCACATTTAGAGCAACACACACTTCCGTTTTAATCAGTATTTCAGTAACAGAGTTTGTAACCTTGAAACAGAGCAATTCAATTAACATATTACTGACCTGCACAAGTGCACTGTTGCCAATGCTTGTGATTTTTTTATCACGTTTTAAAATGTTTGGGTTTTTTTCTTAAAGTCCCAGCTCCTTGAGTCATGTGACTGTGACAATCTCATCTTTAATTTTACAACGTAAGTTTCTAGCCCTCATGGTTTCAGAGAAAAGATTGAAAATGATCTGCCAGGTACCATAAAGGTTCTAAAACCAGAAGGCAGAGAGAGAACCCAAAATACAGCTTTAAAGACCTCGTGGTTTTTTTAAGGGGCAGTCTCATTATATTAACACTCAGGATTGGTAATATTGCAAGTGGGAATCGTTATCCACTTTAGTGACTTAACTGATGGAAATTTCAAACTGAGTCAATTTCAAACTAATACTGAAATTTGCAAAAACCTTGAACGCAAGCAGGTCAGCTGCCGTGGCCTGCACAGTCTATCACACCTCTACAACCAGCTTCCTGAGGAAGTTTTGAGAGATTCAGATATTGTCAGGGAAGTTGTCAGAAATAAAAAGCTCAACTTTCCAGCAATACTCAAAGGCACTTGTTTCCATTGAGGGCTAATGAACAAAGCAAATGTAACATTTCAAAAACAAGCTGTTTGAGAGGATGTTCCACTAAAATAGGTCCCTTTTCAAAAATTAAACTCTCAAATCCTTATTTCTTTATAAATACCATGTCTTGTTATAAGCTTGAGATGAAACTAACACTGTTTCATGTAAAATGTTGCTTATTTCACTCACAGTTTGAAATATCTTCTGGTTCATATGCATACATTCTGTTCTTATACTTTCCTGTCAGATCGGCTCGAACTGTCATAGAGGGATCTTTAGGAGGGGAAAAGTCCAAAATGTTAGCAATGGAGGTCTTTAGGAAGGAGCAGTGCTGCTTAATTTTGGGGGGTGGGGTGGGGGTGGGGGTGGATGGTGGGAGGGGTGGGAAGAGATTCAAGCCTTTAAAAATGGTGTTCATTAGCACAGCACTCTGACACTGTGTTTATGCCAGGGGTTTTCAGGACAAAATTTTTGGTGCCCTCAGACTGCGACCACCAACTGTTGCTGGTGGCCACTCTCACACTTTTTCCTAAAATACTTAATTTGCTTTAGGAAAACCAAATAAATATGCCCACATTCACATCCAAGTGACTGTAATTTATTTATTGCTAGCTAGTAAGTCTGTTGTGAAAAGTGATATTAACAAACCATACATGTATCACTTTTCACAGCAGACTTAATCAGCCCTGGCAAGCCTGGGGACAAATTCAGCCCTGGATGGAGGGTTGCGGGGAGGCAGCGTGGGGCTGGAGCCTGAAGTCCTGCGTCCAGAGCCCGAAGCCCCATGGCCAGAGGATGAGGTCCAGGAACACAGCCTGAAGCCATGTGGCCGGAGCCTGGGGCCTGCCACTGCACAGCCAGGGCTGGAGCCTGAAGCCTTGCAGCCAGAGCTTGCTGCCCTGCCACCCGAGGGCTGAAACCCAAAGCCGGGGAAGGTGGGAAACTTACTGGCTGCCTGCTCCTAAAACGTTGTGCTCCAGGGGGACAGGGCCCAACCCTGCTGCTGGCCCCAGCAACCAACACCAGGGTGGTACATCCAGGAGCGAGGAGGAGGGGGCTCTACTTTGCCCCCCCCCCCATCACAGCCCAGGAAGCTGTGGCTGCAAGTAAAGCCCCTGGTAGCCGCATTTGAGAAACGCTTTAGGCTAACAGCCCTGAGGATCTCAGAGCTTAGTATCTGCCTTAGACTGGCTCTTGGACAATAGACTGGTTAGATGCATCTGAATTGCCATTCCAAAATTGGTAATGATGCCAGGTAGGTGTGGTCATTAAAAAGGGTCAGTCTTTGTCCCGTTCATGCCCAACAATCTTACATTGAATTTCCCCTGGAACTATTGCTTATGAGGCTAGACCAGAGGGAGGCAAACTACGGCACGTGGGCCACATCCAGCCCGCAGGACCCTCCTGCCTGGCCCCTGAGCTCCTAGCCCCCGGCCCCTCCCCTGCTGTTCCCCCTCCCCCGCAGCCTCAACTCACGCCGCCACTGGCGCAATGCTCTGGGTGGCGGGGCTGTGAGCTCCTGGGGCAGCGCAGCTGCAGAGCCCGGCCTGACCCAGTGCTCTGTGCTGCGCGGTGGCGACGGCGTGGCTGGCTCCAGCCAGGCAGCGCAGCTGTAACGCTGCCAGCCACCGGTGCTCCAGGCAGCGCGGTAAGGGGGCAGGGACCGGGGGGCTTGGATAGAGGGCAGGAGAGTTTGGGGTGGTGGTCAGGGGGCGGGGGTGTGGATAGGGATCAGGGCATTCAGAGGGTGGGGTTGATTGGGGGGTTGAATGGGGGCAGGTGTCCCAGGGGGGCAATTAGGAATGAGAGGAAGGGTTGGATGGGGCGGTAGGGGGCAGTCAGGGGCAGGGGTTCTGGGGGTGGTCAGGGGAAAGGGAGAAGGGGTGGTTGGATGGGGCAGAGGTCCCGGGGGGGGCAGTCAGGAAGGAGAGGAGGGGTTGGATGGAACAGCAGGGGGCAGTCAGGGGTGGGGGTTGTCAGGGACAGGGAGCAGGGGGGGTGGATGGGGCAGGGGTCGGCCATCAGGGAACGAGGGGGGGGTTAGATGGGGCAGGAGTCCCGGGGGGGGGGCCGTCAGGGGGCGAGAAGCGTGGGGTGGGGTGGATAGGGGGCTGGGCCACACCTGGCTGTTTGAGGAGGCACAGGCCCTCCATACAATTTCCGAAACCCGATGCAGCCCTCAGGCCAAAAAGTTTGCCCGCCCCTGAGCTAGACCCTGTCCCTGGAAAGCCCAATGAATCCTTAATAAATATTCAGATATAGGCAGGGAATCTAATTCTTATCTATTTTCACACACTACAGCATGATGTCATGTTGGGTCTGTATCATGTATACAGGGCCGGCTCTAGGCACCAGCAAAGCGAGCAGTTGCTTGGGGCGGCAAATTTGCAGGGGCGCAAGAATCCAGCCGGGGAGCTGAGAACCAACAGGAGGCCCTGGGAGCTGTAGTTCCCTGGTTAGCTCCCTGCCTATAGAGCCAGCCCTGGAGCAGGGAAAGAACTACATTTCCCAGCATTCCCTCGGCCGCAATTAACAGGAAAGGGAGGGAGAAGGAATGTGGAACTGAAACCTCATGCTGCAGCTTGCTGTGAATGGTAGGGACCGAGCCAGCTCTAGGTTTTTTGCCGCCCCCCACCCCAGCCCTGGCTCCCTCGCACCCCAGTGTTGCCCCAGCCCTGGACTCTTCCCCACCCACACCCCCTGCTGCCCCAGCTCTGGCCCCCACCTGCACCCCCCTGCTGCCCCAGCCCTGTGCTCTCCCCCCACCTGCATCTCCTGCCACCCCAGCCCTGGGCTCTTC